AAAGGAGACTGTAGGGGTAAGCTGAGGAGTAGAGAGATAGATTTGGGTGTTGTCAGCATAGAGATGGTATTGAAAGTAATGGGAGGCTATAAAGTTACCAAGAGAGGATGTGTAGGACAGAGCCTTAGGGGACCCCTGCAGAAAAGAGGAAGAAAAGAGGTGGAGATGGAGTTATAGTTGACAGTGAAGGAGCACTTAGAGAGGTAGAAAGAGAACCAGGAAAGAGCAAAGTCTTGGAGGCCAAGTGAGTTAAGTCTTTGAGGAGATTAGGTTTTTCAACTGTATTCAAGTCATCAGAAAGGTCTAATAGTAGGAATATGTAGTAGTGACCATTAGCTGCCTAAATTTAAACTATAGATGCAAAAACATTTTATGTTACTGTAAGTAACTATGCTTATAATGCATTTCTAGAAAGTATAAAGTGTGAAGGTTTGGATTAGGGTCCTTTTTGAGATCCTGCTGCTGGTGAGAATTCACTCTGCTGTACCCATGTTGACAAATGAATGAATGATGCCTCACTCAAGCAGCCAGCAAGGGAGCGACACATACAAGCAGGACAGTTTTTTTGCTGTGTCCTCTATAGCAGTCCTGCTGCTGGTGAGTTCTCGCTAGATTCAGGATCACAAGCATGATATTGACCATTTTTCAGGACATGACATTGTTAAAGGAGAAATTTGGTTATGACTTAAACAAACCTCTATACTCATGCCTAGTGATGGGCAGAACACCCCTGTGTTTGGCTCACAGTCAAACATTCAAACCTAATGAACTTCAAACTCAATGCAAGTCTATGGGCCATAAAAGGGATATGGGGACTTGGGTACTGCCCTGAGGGACATTAATCAGTGAAAAACGATTTTCAAAAAGGGGCAGTCATTTTTCATTGCTTAAAGTAATAAATAAAAAAAAATCCCTGGGGGGTCCCCTTAAACTACCTGCAAGGTTGCACATCTGTACAATGTATATAACCTGCAGCAGCAGGACTGAACTTTTTTATTTTTAAATTATATTTTTATATTAAAACTATTTAAAAAAAAAAAAAAACGTGGGGTCCCCCCCCCCTAATTTATACCAGACCCTTTAGGTCTGGTAGGAAGGTTAAGAGGGACCCACAGTAAAAAAAAATCCAAAAAAAGTTAATGGGGTTCCCCCTAAAATCCATACCAGACCCTTTAGGCCTGGAAAGACTTTTAAGGGGAACCCCACCTGCCAAAAATGGGGGGGAATGTGCATGGGGTTCCCCTAAAAGACATACAAGGCCCTTTAGGTCTGGTAGGACTTTTAAGGGAAACACCACCCCCAAAAATGGGGGGAAAAAGCATGGGGTCCCCCTAAATTCCTACCAGACCTTTAATCCGAGCACAGGCCTGGTAGGGCCCCCCACTCAGGCATGATCTAGCTCCCCCTCCCCCTCCCCTGTGGCTTACCACAAGGGCCTCTTCCCCATAATCCTGGCCTGGTGCTTGTGAGGGTCTGCGGGCAGGGGAGATCATTAGCATCAGGGTAACCCTATAAATAAGGGGGCACACTGATGCTGCCCCCCTTGTGAATGAGTAAGGGGTACTTGTACCCCTATCCATTCACTAAAAGGTTATATTCAGTAAAAAAATAAAAAAGACCAGTTTTTTGAAAAATCCCTTTAATTGAACAAAAAAAAACAGTTTTTGACAAGTTTTGGCAGCCGCGCTATAGCCAAATGACAGCTACAGCGCAGTTGTCCAGTTCTGAGAGGGCATCATATGACGTCCTCCCAGAATTCGCCCCCAGCGTCACGCACCCGGTGATCGCTGTGTCTTATGGACACAGCTGATCACGTGATATGGTAAGAGGCCAATCACAGCAGCCTTTTACCACGTGATCAGCTGTGTCCAATGACACAGATCACTGGGTAAATACAGTTTCCTGTTACCTGCTACACTTTCCTCACGCTGTCACAGCGTGAGAAAAGTACTGCCGATAACCGGCAATTGTCAGAGAACAGATCGTCACTGATCATCAGTGTCCTGATGATCAGTGCCCAGCAGTGCTACCCACCTGGGCCCAGCAGTGCCACCCACCATTGCCCAGCAGTGCATCCCATCAGTGCTGCCCAGCTGTGCCACCCATCAGTGCCTCCATCAGTGCTGCCAAGCAGTGCCGTCCATCAGTGCCCATAAGTGCCAACAGTCAGTTCCGTCAGTCAGTGCCGTACATCAGTGCTGCCTATCAGTGCTTCCTATCAGTGCCCATCATTGCTGCATATCAGTGCTGCCTCATCAGTGCCACCTATCAATGCTGCCTATCAGTGCCCATCAGTGCTGCCTATCCATGCCACCTCACCAGTGCCTATCAGTGCTGCCTATCAGTGCCCATTAGTGCTGCCTATCAGTGCTGCCTCATCAACGTACATCAGTGAAGGAGAAAAATTAGCAAAATTTTATAAAAGAAACAAAGAAAAACTATTTTCTTTTTTCACATTTTTTTTGTTTACAGTGCAAACAATAAAACACCCAGTAGAGAATAAATACCACCAAAAGAAAGCTCTATTTGTGAGAACAAAATTATAAAAAGTTCATATGGGTACAATATAGCATGACCGCGCAATTGTCATTCAAAGTGCGACAACGCTGAAAGCTGAAAATTGGCCTGGGCACGAAGGGGGTATAAGTGTACATTAGGCAAGTGGTTAATAATAAAAAAAAGCCCCAAAAGAATATTCCATCATTGTAATTCATCATCAATCATGGAGTGCCAGTCCACACAATATTAAATGATGATGATAGCAACAATAATGATGATTAATAAACGTACTATTATTTACAAGTGCAGAACACTGTGCAACCATAGCTGTATTACAAAAAAATCTGGGCTCTATCAATGATCTGGTGATATGATAAATGACATAACGTATACAAATATGCTCTCAATTAAAAAGCAGTAAAAACAAAAATATAATACAGCTGCCCCTAGTTCTCACTTTGACTAACATAGGGGAGGGGATAGCTGGGAGGGGAAGCTGGGTTATACAGCAGACGACAGACAGAACTTGGAGTCCCAGCCAGGAGAAGCAACATAGTCCTTTTATTTGTAATGAATGAGTTGGTAAACCCAGGGATAAGGACCGGTTGTATTATTACTGATCACTGTACACACAGCAGCTTCTGGGACACGAGTGACATAAAGTGGAGATGAAACTTTCTTTGCACTGTCCATATGATCACACAATTGTACAGTATCTAGTTCTTGGTGAAATAGTGACCACCTCTGAATGTTTCATCTTTCCAGCTTAAAAGTTATCTTGTTCATTTGTATCTTCATTACACATCATTGTATGGTGGTGGTGTAACTGCAGAAAATAGCCTTTTAACCTCTTGTGCCCCCCAAGGCAGGGTTAACAGGGGCAGAAAGTATGTCGAGTTCTCCTGAAAGTTAAAGATGCCAAAGGTGTCTTCTAAATATAAAGCCTTTCCCAGCAGGGATTTACAAGGACATGAATTATGACTGTGATTGCTGTGCACATATTAGTGGTAAGCAGCTGGACTCTAGAGCCCTATTTAAGTGTGAGATTTTGTCCTAAAGTCACCAGAAAATCCTTCCTCCTGGAAGAGGGACCTGGGGGCGCTTGGTGAACCTCTCCTTTCATCTGCATGGGGGTGTGATCAGCAGTGTGGACTGGGCTGCAAGGGTCCTCATTATGGAACATATCAGCTATGTACTAACATCGCATTCATGGAGGGCACACTGCTCCATATGATAGAGAGAGAGATGAAGAGATGGAGAGAGAGAGAGAGAGAGAGAGAGAGAGAGAGAGAGAGAGAGAGAGAGAGAGAGAGAGAGAGAGAGAGAGAGAGAGAGAGAGAGAGAGAGAGAGAGAGAGAGAGAGAGAGAGAGAGAGAGAGAGAGAGAGAGAGAGAGAGAGAGACATATTTACATAGACTGGACTGGAGAAACAGATGAATAGGTAGATCAGACAGAAATGCAGAGATGTAGATTGCTCAGTAGACAGGTGTGGATAAGGTAGCATTGATAGAAATTAGAAAAGAAAGAAAGACATACATAGACAGGAATAAAGAAATAGATGACAGATGCGATTGGATGGATATATATGTCCAGTACAGTAAATGGCACACTGCTAACAGCTTATGATGACATCAAAGTGCAATATATTTATTACTAGGAGGACATAAGCTGTCTGACATATGACATGCATGCTGTGTGTACCTGCACATGTATGACACAGACAGATGAGGTCTGACACACAAGCACACCTATCTGCTCATTGAGGAAGGCTCTTGCCACAAGTGGAAGGAACAGACAGATGTACCTATAGAATAGTTTCCATGGCTCAGTGTCTCCTCCATGCCTTGCATTGTGAATGTGAAGCTCATCCTCTAGGATCAGCCATAAGGAACGTTAGCCAGGCTTCAAAATGTAATTAATATACAAAAGCAGCCAGGATGGGGGCCTGTGCGTACAGTACATTCTCTCTGAAACAGGAGGAGGTGACAAGGACGACTTGCCATATACGTCTGCTTTTATTTTTAAACCCTTGGGCTGCACACTGCTTGATCAACACTTTTCCTCAAATGAAAGGAAGAGAATGGGGGGACGAAGGGGGTGGGGGAGGGGTTGGGGGGGGGGGAGAACACTTTTATGTACCCCACAAATAAATTCCAGCCTGAAATCCCACAGGCTGCCAGAGCTTGGAATGTATGATCCTTGTATGACATTGTGTGATTTACTGTTGAACAACAACACAAAATTCCACCAGGAGGGAAAAAAAAATCCCAAGACCCCACTTACAGCTAGATGTCAACAAGGGCTTTCCAGGCAGCTTATTCATGTGTGTTTGTCCTTTACACTTATCCCAAAAATCCAGGCAGGCTGAAAAAAAATAGAAGTCCCGTGGCTTGATGTAGCCCTGACCCCTTATATTCCATTTATAGTCTTAGTCCTGATGACATCCTCCTTGCCTGGGGAACTGTCCAATCCAGCAGCATGCGTGCAGATTGTGTTAGGTACTAAGCGAAATATAAATATGCCCTAATAGTGAAAAACACATTGGGTCCCACATCTAGGCTCTGGGCTGAGGATCGTCCTGATCTTACCTCCAACACTTGGGGCTTGCTTGTTTCTCTTTGGATCCTTGTTTGCTCCAATAACACGAAAGTACAATGGCACCCAAGAAGGATGTGAAGAAACCAGCAGCTGCTGCCCCTGCAGCGGCACCGGCACCAGCAGCAGCACCAGCACCAGCCCCAGAACCTGTCAAACCCAAAGAACCAGCATTTGATCCGTCCAGTGTCAAGGTAATAGGGCTGCAATGGGATGTCATGTGTGTAGTCGCTGGAAACTCAGGGAGACTAGGGGGACCCTGCTTTGCCCCCCTTTTCCCTCCTTAGAGAGGACAGAAATTGGCATTTTTTTTGGAGATTACCCCTTCCTAACACCAGAAGTCATGTATGCTGCAATCTGGCTGTATGGCTGCATTTTATGGATTTCATGATCTCACAGATTTTTATTTAAAGATATTTACACTGTTCCATATGCGAACAGCTCACTACATTTAACAGAACAATGTTTTAAAACTGCCCATACATTATACAATCTGATTTTCTAAACTACTATCAACTATGCAGTGCCTGATTGGATACAAATTGGATAGTTTGGCTATGTGCTTATTGTGTCTCTTTTATGAATAGTTATAACTGTAAATAAAAACAGACACCCCAGATAGGTGTCATGACACCAGAAAGTGATCTAAAGCTGGCCATACAATATATAATCGAATTTTACAATCTACTTGAACTATGTAGTACTGGATTGGATACACATTGAATAGATTGTTTAGGTGTGTCCTTATGTTGTCTCTTTTATGAATAGTTATAACTGTAAATAAAAACAGACACCCCAGATAGGTGTCATGACACCAGAAAGTGATTTAAAGCTGGCCATACAATATATAATATAATTTTCCAATCTACCATCAACTATGTAGTGCCTGATTGGATACACATTGAATAGTTCATTTAGGTGTGTCCTTCTCTTGTCTTTTTCATGAATAGCTATAACTGTAAATAAAAAGACACCCCAGATAGGTGTCATGACACCAGAAGGTGATCTAAATCTGGCCACACAACATATAATCGAATTTTCCAATCTACCATCAACTATGTTGTACTGGATTGGATACACATTGAACAGATTGTTTAGGTGTGTCCTTATGTTGTCTCTTTTATGAATAGTTATAACTGTAAATAAAAACCCACCCCAAATAGGTGTCACGACACCAGAAGGTGATGTAAAACTGGCCCTACAATATATAATCGAATTTTCCAATCTACCATCAACTATGCAGTGCCTGATTGGATACACATTGAATAGATTGTTTAGGTGTGTCCTTATGTTGTCTCTTTTATAAATAGAACTGTAAAAAAAAAAAAAACAGATACCCCCAATGAGTGTCACGACACCAGAAGGTGATCTAAAACTGGCCATACAATATATAATCAGATCTATGTACAATCTTCTTCAGATTTACCAAACCCATGCAATATACGAAAATACCTATACAGTCTGTTCAGTTTGTACCCATTCATTGCATTTCATAGTTAATCGATTTAACAGAGATGGTCTCTGATCTGACTGTATAGTGTATGGCCAGCTTCAGATCACCTTCTGGTGTCATCACACATATTGGTGGGGGCTCTTTTGTTTTTGGTATATTGATCTAATAGTGCAAGCAGAATGTGCTACTTATAAAAGAGACATTTATAACTGAGCTGCATAAGCATTTACTTACCACTTTACAATAGCTAAGCCATACTGAAGCAAATCAATGCAGGAGCAGCAGGACAGGGTAATGCCATAGCTGTCCTCTACAGCACACATTTTATCCTTGCTAGGAGCTGTGAGCTTTCCAGTGACAACACCAACAACTTCTCTATTGCCAGTGTTGTGCTGTAAATGGCTGTGGTTTGCAGTGTGCTTGTGTTCTCAGCTTGCTCTTTGCAATGCTATGACAGGCGATTGACAGGTGGCAAGTTAGCCAGTTACACAGGGAATCACACAGGCTCCTCCTCCACCTAGCTGCCTTCTGATTGGTCTATAAATGTGGATCAGAAGGAGGATGCCCTAATAGGGGGGGAATAAGGCTTGGCCTCTACCTGAATGGAGGCTGCTGCAGAATTGATGCTGAGTGTGGACAGGACAGAACCTCCCATCTTTATTATATGTGTCTACAATGATACTTATTATCCTGTGCATAGCATAGTGTGCATTTATGTGGCTTAGGACCAATGTCACACTTTAGAAATACTTTGTTGCAGAAGAAGTGTTATTAAGAAGCTGATCTTTGTCACATAGCAATGCAAAGGAGCAATGTTTATGAGAAGATCCTGTTTTGGCTGTCATTTAGTAAATGTATTGTAATCTATGTATGTTTACAAATAAGTGTGATCATTGTTGCAGTAACCTGAAGCATACAACAAATGCATTTTTCCTAAAGTGTCCTTAAAGTGTTTCTTAAAGTGTCCTGTTGAATGTGTTGTTGACCATAGCAGCCCGAATTCCAGCTGTCCTACACAGGCAACCCTAGAAATGTAAAGCTGGAATCTCATTGGCTTGTACAGCATAGACACTGCATGTTATTTCTGTTCATACCAATGGAATTGTAGTGTAGGTAAACTAGCTTTAGTTCAAAATCCCAAAAATATACATTTACCTTGAATCATTACGGGCCTGTTTAGACCGTTGTATTTTGATGCGCACATTGCAATGCACTAAATCGCATGTGCCTAACTTCCCCATATTTCTGTCCATTTTTTTGTGCTTTAATGGCCAGTTCACACTACAAAAATGCACTCCAGATGCTTTCCGAATACATTTTTGCTTACAGTTCACACCACACGCAGTTCCGGTGCAGTTTTGATGCAGTTTGCCATGTTTCAGTATGGTTCTGTGCAGAAAAAATGCACCATGCTCTACTTTTTTTTTCTGCACCAGAAACTGACTGGAACTGACTGCACTAGTGTGAACTAGGGCCATTGGAATACATAGAAAACACTGTGCCATGCATTTTTATGCAGAAAAAAAGAGCACTGAACTGCATCTAGTGTGAACTAGCCTTTAGGCTAGATTCACATCTGTGCAAGTGATTGTTGCTGCAGGGCTGTACCTGTTCCCACAACCTACCCGCACAGAAAATTGCAGGAGATGTATGCGGGTGCCATTAATCCTAATGGCACACCACAAGCACTGGAAATTGCTCTGGCATAGGGAGCTACACTGCACTTGCACAAATGATGCAGGGGCTTTTTTTCTGTGTTGCAGGAGGCACAGCAGCCCATTCAAATGAAAGGGCTGCCGTGCCCACACAAACCACAACCATCAGAGCTGAATCACTGTGAACCTAGCCTTAAGGCTTGGTTCACATCTACAGTCATGGCCGAAATTGTTGGCACCCTTGATATTTTTCCTGAAAATCAAGTATTTCACACAAAAAAAGGTATTGCATTAACACATGTTTTGCTATACACATGTTTATTCCCTTTGTATGTATTGGAACAAATATAAAACAGAGGCAGAAAAGCAAATATGACATAATGTCACACAAAAACCCCAAAAATGGGCTGGACAAAAGTATTGGCACCCTTAACTTAATATTTGGTTGCACACCCTTTGGAAAACATAACTGAAATCAGTCGCTTCCTATAACCATCAATAAGCTTCTGACACCTCTCACCCGGAATTTTGGACCACTCTTCCTTTGCAAACAGCTCCAGGTCTCTCTTATTGGAAGGACACCTTTTCCCAACAGCAATTTTAAGATCTCTCCACAGGTGTTCAATGGGATTTTAGATCTGGGCTCATTGCTGGCCACTTCAGAAACTCTCCAGCGCTTCTTTGCCATCCATTTCTGAGTGCTTTTTGACGTATGTTTGGGGTCATTGTCCTGCTGGAAGACCCAGGATCTTGGACGCAAACCCAGCTTTCTGACACTGGGCCCTACAGTGCGACCCAAAATCCTTTGGTAATCCTCAGATTTCATGATGCCTTGCACACAGTCAAGGCACCCAGTGCCAGAGGCAGCAAAAACAACCCCAAAACATCATTGAACCTCCACCATATTTTACCGTAGGTACTGTGTTTTGTTCTTTGTAGGCCTCATTCCGTTTTCGGTAAACAGTAGAATGATGTGCTTTACGAAAAGCTCTATCTTGGTCTCATCTGTCCACAAGACGTTTTCCCAGAAGGCTTTTGGCTTACTCAAGTACATTTTGGCAAACTGTATAGTCTTGCTTTTTTTATGTCTGTGTCAGCAGTGGGGTCCTCCTGGGTCTCCTGCCATAGCGTTTCATTTCATTTAAATGTCGACGGATAGTTCGCGCTGACACTGATGCTCCCTGAGCCTGCAGGACAGCTTGAATGTCTTTGGAACATGTTTGGGGCTGCTTATCCACCATCCGGACTATTCTGCGTTGCAATCTTTCATCAATTTTCCTCATCCGTCCACGACCAGGGAGATTAGCTACAGTGCCATGGGTTGCAAACTTCTTGATAATGTTGCGCACTGTGGACAAAGGCAAATCTAGTTCTCTGGAGATGGACTTGTAACCTTGAGATTGTTGATATTTTGCCACAATTTTGGTTCTCAGGTCCTCAGACAGTTCTCGTCTCCTCTTTCTGTTGTCCATGCTTAGTGTGGCACAGACAGACACACAATGCAAAGGTTAAGTGAACGTCTCTCCTTTTTTATCTGCTTTCAGGTGTGATTTCTATATTGCCCCACACCTGTTACTTGCCCCAGGTGAGTTTACAGGAGCATCACATGCTTGTAACATTCTTATTTATCCGCAGTTTGTGAAAAGGGTGCCAATACTTTTGTCCAGCCCATTTTTGGAGGTTTGTGTGACATTATGTCGAATTTGCTTTCTTTCCTCCCTTTTTTTGTTTTGTCCCAATACACACAAAGGGAATAAACATGTGTATAGCAAAACATGTGTTAATGCAATACGTTTCGTGAGAAATACATGATTTCCTGGAGAGAAATATCAAGGGTGCCAACAATTTCGGCCATGACTGTATGTGATTATTGTCATTTAGCAGTAACAGCTGCTAAATGACAATACATATAAACATTGATGCTTTATTAGACTCTGAAGTATTTTAATGTATCACTGAACTCATAACCTTTGTAATTTGAAGGAATGATGTTATTACACGTTCCCTGAAAGGGTACCCTTGATGCCTAATTAAGATCTTCAGCGCTACTGCAATGTATAGCATACTCTGCTATGGGTTTTAACCA